GCTACTTGAAGGGTACTTCTTCTCATGGCCTTCTGTTCAGAAAAGGCTCTCTTGATCTTGCTGTTTATTCTGACTCTGACTGGGCTAACGACAAAGATGATCGTCGTTCCACCACTGGGTATCTCCTTATGCTGGGGCCGAATCTTATCTCATGGTGCACAAAAAAACAGACTCGCGTCTCGCGCTCCTCCACCGAAGCTGAGTATCGCGCTATGGCCGCGGGGGTGGCAGAGGCGATGTGGCTTCGTTATATTATGGATGCTCTGCATGTTCCGCCTACGAAACCTAAGATTTATTGTGATAATGAGTCCACAATCTGTGTAACCAAGAATCCCGTTCTCCATGATCGCATGAAGCATGTTGGCTCCGACTGTCACTTTGTTCGAGACGAGGTTATGGCTGGCACTATGACTACACAGCATGTTCCTTCTTCTGAGCAGCTTGCTGACATCTTGACAAAATCGCTTCCGCCGACTCCGTTCCATTATTTGTGTTCCAAGCTGCCCCTCGTATCCGTTGATCAGCTTGCGGGGGGGATAATAGGAAGACTCCTAATATTATTTAGTTTCCTTATTCTTGTATTACCATAATTACTTTATTCCTTTCCTACTAGGAATAGGACTCTCTCTTGTAATCCCTATATATAGGGACATATCTCTCAATATTCAATAAGACAAATTATTATCAAATTGTATCACATTTAAAGAAAACTCCAATTACATAAAATAGCTGATGACACTAAAATCACCAACATATTTATTAAAGATGTTTGTATAAAATATTTGAACTTCTTAAGATTGTACACAATATAAATATATAAATTTTCTCTTTATAAAAAGCTTAAATCGTAATATATCGAACCCTTAAATAGTAAATGTGCTCTTATTGAAAGGTAACCCTTATTGAAGTCATGACATTTCGAACTTTTTAAGTGCTCTTAGTTTTCCTGTATACATCTAACTAATGCACTTAGACAATGTTATTTTTGCTGGAAAAATTAATTTCCAATATTTTCCATATCAAGAATATATTTAAGCTATGTACAATAGACATAACTATATTATACTTTTTTTTTCGTTCCACCATTTCGTAATTATCTTTGTATTTCGTAATTTTTCGTTGAAGTTGACTCAAAATTTCCACCCACTATCTTTTTCGTAAATCAAAATTAAGTGTTTTCATACTTTACTATTATATGCTGCATACCTATCTAAATAAATTATACAATTACTATTATGACTTTTCAATAAGTTTTGTTTGTCTCTTTTAATTTTGCATTGTTCACACTTTAAACACATAGACCGCGCATTGGACCGGAATGCGCATCTCGGCCCATATTCATAGAAGAGTCTCGAAGGACTCTCTTCCAGTGGCATTTCAGTAAATTACCCGTCGAAGGTAACACCATAAATCTTCGCGAAGATCTCAACAATTCCTTCGTCCCTTCATCGTCTAAAAACCTAATTTCCCCATTCAACCCTAATTTCCCCACTCGTTTCTGCAAATCTTCGTTTCATTTCCTCTCCATTTTATTGTTCGTTCGCCCTTCTGAGTAGCCTTAGGGATTCAAGTTTCGCTTGCTGTTTCATCTGGCTTAGTTAGGGGGCGCATAGCAAAAAATCTTCTGGCCAAATTTCATTATTTGGATCTTCAGATCCGGGCGCTCGGTGAGGATCTTCGCTCATCTCCATCGATTTTCCTCCAATTCGCCCTGGATATCCCTTCGATTTCAGTCGTTCTTCATTTCCGTTGCTTGAATTTCGTCGTTTTTTTGAATCGGTTTGATTTTTTTTTGGGATGTATGGATTTCGCCTTAGAATAACTCGACGGAGGAGCCTAATAAGCGGACAACCGTAGGGTTCAGACAGGGGCGGAGAGCAAGATGAACGATGGTTGTTCTTGTTCTAGAACTCGAACTTGTTTATGGCGTGAAAAAATCTGAGATTTTCTCGTTTCTCAGTCCGTTGATTCATACAAAATTTCAACTTGTTTCTTGAAATGTTTGAAAGGCAGATGATGAATGTTTATATTTTTTGAGCTGATTCATCCATGAGGCTTCAAAATTCGAGCTTTTTAAAACTGATGCCTTTTGATATATAGTTTTCTTTTTTATTCTGAAAAAAAGAATCAAATCTGTGAACAATTGAATTCTTGTTGCTGGTTAAGAGGCATTTTGAGATTTCTATCCATGAATTTGTGCCATCCTTGAGCCAGCAAAATCAAAATTATCAATTTCCTGACTAAGCTTGGCTTATATTGTAATGGCCATGCTTTTGTTGAAATCTGAGACATCTTTAGATATTTTATACCATTTTTCTTTCTATATTTCATTACATTGTATTACCTCTGTTCTAAAATGAGTTCTCATATACCAGTTTGTGTCTCAGAGGGAGCATTATTGAGGAGCTCCGATGGCTTGCACCAATGTATTTTAATTGTTAAACGGGCTTGAAGCACCAATATAGACATAAAAACTCTTGGAGCAACAATGGCATTTTATCTTTAGTCAAATGTTTTGTGACACATTGAAATGGAAAACAAGAGAAAACATATGACACACTGAGAACAAATCATTCAACTTCATCAATGAATAAATAAAATCAACCTTAAAGCTTTTATATCAACCTTACAATATAAGTCTTGTATATAATCACACACTTGAAATGAAAAAGTATAACCTAGGGTTTATTATGTACACATAACATGAGACATTTGAAATATAGTAACAATTGGGTGGGTTCTTTTGGTATTGATGTCATAAAATGATGTCGAACCATTTTGGGATAATACGATGCTCTATTGGGTCTGAAGTATCGGTCCTGCCCTTCTTAATCTACCTTACAAACCCAACTCTCTCCAAATCCTTTGGCATTCGTTAGAACGGTACAATAATATTCCAAGATGAAAGCGAGAGTTAGGTTTGTAAACTGGATCAAGAGGGGTAAAATTCTATTGTCAAAAGAACAAGAGTAGTTCTTAATGCATAGAGTGAAGTGCTTCATGATGGCCTCCAAATGTGAGGTGAGCTCCTGTAATTGCAGCCCCATTCATCTTCCCTGCATCTCTTACCATCTGCTTCATCCTCTAAAAGTATGCACAATTTGTTCTTTTAATCTTATCATTAAATGAAAATTTGACTTCCCTTAATCTTAAGTATCACACATAAAGTATGTTACATTCATCATGAAAATTATAAAACTCATGTAATAGACAATTACTACCTCCGTCCCGCTATATTCGTCCACTTTTAACTTTTGGAACTGTTCATCTAAGTACTTTAACTCATCAAATTCTCTCAATGTGTAAGCTTAAATATAGTTATGCGTAATCTTGTTTGATTTGTCTTAACATATACCAGTAGATTATTAATATATAATTTTTATAATTTTTTAATATACAAATTACAAGATAAAATGGATTAAAGAAGTGCATTGGATGGTGTGTAAAAATGAAAGTGGACAAATACTCTGAGACGGAAGGAGTAGTAATAAAGTAAATCACTTACTACCTACGTCTGTATCACGATTTGGTTTTATTTTATTTATCAAATTAAGCTACCCCAATGATTTTTAAAGAAAAATATGTAGTACATTAGAAATAAAAATAAAGAAAATATTAAAATAAGAGATCTATATTTTTGAGTAAATTTCATAAAAGGTCTCTATTGTTTTACATATTTAGTTCCTACATGTCAAATATTATTAATTTAATCCCTAATTATTATATTCATTTTCACAAATGGTCCTTTGTTAACATTTCCATTAAGAACGTGGATAAAATTATAAATTTACATTCTTTTCTTTTCTCAATTAAGTTTCTTCCCTCCTCTCGCACTCTTTTCCCAAACCCGTCGCGGGCTTTTAAGCTTTGAACCCAAAACTGAAATTATCACTCTTCTCTCAATTGTTTGTCTAACTGGTAGAATCCAAATTCGAAACTAGTAACCTTCATGGATGAGTTTTAATGTTTATTTCTTTGAAATTTCTTGAGACTAATTGATAAAACTCATCCATAAAGCTTATTGGTTTTGATTTTAGGTTTCACCAGAAAAACTAATAATTAAGAGAGAAATGATTATTTCAGTTTTAGGCTTAGAGCTTCAAACTCAGCTACGAGTTTGGGAAAGAGTACGAGAGAAGGGAGGAAGTTTAATTGAGAAGAGAGAGAAATACGAATATACAATTTTATCTATGTTTTTAACAAAAACGTTAACAAAGTACCATTCGTGAAAAGTAATATAATAATTGGGGACTAAATTACTAATATTTGATATGTAGAGACTAAATACGTAAAATGACTTATAACTAGGGACCTTTTAAGAAATTTACTCCATATTTTTATTACTAAAATAAAGTAAATTCTATAATTGATTCTTTATAAGAGGTAGATTTTCCTATTTAGTTTTCTATTATCACATATTACTCCGGTGATCCTTCTTTATGTGTATATTTCCACAAATAGTTTTTCTTTATATTCTATCATGTTGATGCTAATTTGAAGGCTAAAAGTATAATTTTTTTAATGATAAATTGATAATATAATTTTTTAATGCGTTATTTGTAAATTATAATTACTTTTTACTACAACTATAGTCTACAAATGTGGTCTTTTGTCAAAGTCCTAATCCACAATTATAGTCATTACTTTTGTGTCATCAGAATACGATATTGGACATAAAGTTGATGTTAAATTATACTTTTTAGCACTCTTAAAAGGACTATGACTAATTATGAAATTTACTAATTAAAATACTACATCCGTCTCAGAGTATTTGTCCACTTTCATTTCTACACATTATTCAATAAATTTCTTTAATCCATTTTATCATGTAATTTATATATTAAAAAATTATAGAAATTATATATTAATAATCTATATGTTAAGACAAATCAAACAAGATCACACATGATTATATTTAGGCTTACACATTGAGAAAATTTGGTGAGTCAAAGTGCTTAGATGAACAATTTCAAAAGTCAAAACTGGACGAATACTCCAGGACAGAGGGAGTAAGAGTTATAATTTCTTTTTCCCTATCAATTTTTTTGTCATTTTCTTTTCTTTTTCCCTTTCAAATTTTTTGAGCCATAGTGTTGAGATTTGTAACGATTGCAACGAGTTTTAGCTTAATCACATTAATATTCATGAAAGAAATTTGAAGGGTAAAATGGGGAAATAAAATTACACACCTTCTCATCTCCATAGATATCAAACCGGAGCTTGTGAATCTGCCGGTGGTGCTCCTCCCGTCTTCCGATGAAGAGAATGCACGCCGTTGATACCACCGCCACTACCCCAAACCCAAAAATCGCTCCGATCCCGGCCATCCCCCAGTTCCACACATTCCGGCCGCCCCTTTCTCGATCGCCACCGTCGGTACCCCTGCCGCCGTAATCCTCCGCCTGTCCTGCCGGCGATGAGCAATTGTCGGCGTCCTCAGCCTGGTCGGCTTTGTAAAGCTCCCCGAGGTCGATCTGCGGCACGACGGCGCTATTGCCTGACTTGGGATGGTCCAATTTCATGTCCGCCGACGGGAACTCAGATTCCTTCTTTTTCTTGAAGAAAACCTGCGACGCTCTTTCCGGCTCTTTACCCGTTTCTGCTCCGCGGTCCCCGGCGTCGACCAGAGCTGGAACCGAGAGGGGCACGGGGCTCGCCGTGTCCCTGTTCTGATGGTCGCCGACGGCGACCTGAACTTGAAACGGAGGCGGCAGAGCTCCGGCGGTTTCTCTGCTTGTAATTTCGACAAATTGGCCGGAGGAATTTCCCGGCGGAGGGCAGACGAAGTAGTTCATATCAAACACACTGTCTCCCCCGCCGCCGCCGCCGAGGGTGTTTCCTGAAAACAGTCTCTTCCCACCATCGCCGTCGCCGACGAGAAGAACCCCATCTTCCGGCAAGACTTCCCACTCATCAAGATCCATTTTTTCCACGTTTCTTGATCTCGATCGTTCAAGAAATTGAATGGATCCGAAGAAAGAGGGGACTTTTCCTTGTTCTTGGGACTTGGAGGAGGGAGAATTGAATGAAGAATGTTGACACGTAATCTCAGTGGAGTTCAGAACTTATCTATGAAGAAGATGATGACATGTGGGGAGTGGATGGAGCGGGTGGGGCCCTCCCTTCGGTTGGTCTTCCAGATATTTCTCTGTGTTTTGGTTAACCTTTATTTATTGGCACAATGCTTTTTGGACTCATATATTGCCATAATTTTGGAGAAAGAGTATGGAATAAGGGTCTTCAAGAAGAAGATATGAATCCCATATTATATACTCCCTTCGTACCAATTTTTTTGCTTTTATCAATATATGTAAATTTATTTTTAGTAGAATTTATAAGAAATTTAGTCTACAATTTAAAAAAAATTGCTTCCTCTCCCCAAACTTTACCCAAAAATTAATGAAAGAATAATGCTTAAGTCACAAACAAAATATCCACAAAATTTATAAACTTGCTGAATATGAGATGTAATGAATTCAAATAATGGTTGCAAACAATTAAAAAATAAAAATTAAATAAATAAATGATAAGTTTGTTCATTTTGTGAGTATTTTGTTTATGAATATCATTACTCTTAATGAAAAGTATACAATGTTTTGACTTTTCATACTTGTCCTCTGGTCTTTACAAAACGTGAAATAAATTGTAGGCATTAATAGTAATTAATGGGTAAAGGTGAGGCCGTGAGGACACTAACGTGATTTAAAGAAAAAATATTTGTCAAAAAAGGGAACAAAAAGATAATTTATGGATGGATAAATTAGGTAAGTGCAAAGATAAATTATGGACGAATGGAGTATGTATTAAAAAAACTATTTTAAATACATAAAAAATTTACAAAATAAGTGATCAAAAAATTACTCCCTCCGTCCGGAAATGTTCTTCTCGTGTTGACTTGGCACGCTTATTAATGAATAGTAAAAAATGCAAAATTTTCAAAAATGCATTTACCATAAACTTTTAAATCTCCTTTTATTATTAAAAAAGTATTAAAAAAGTAGATTTGTGATAAAATAGAAGGGTATAATTGATATTTAGCCTTAAAAAGCATACTAAAAAAGGAAATGGGAAGAATATTTCCGGACGGACTAAAAAGGAAAATGAGAAGAATATTTTCGGACGGAGGAAGTATAATTCATACGGAATACTCTGTATTTATTAAATATGTAATAAAAATAGATAATAAAATATGGTCTAAGTTTGGCCTTATAAATACTCCGTAATTGTATACTCTTTCCGTCTAACAATAAATTTACCATTTTTTATTACGATCTCTTGATAACTTATGTTTGTTTGTATATTTTCATCAATCATTTGAAAAAATAAAATATTTTTGTCACATCTTATTTTGTAAATTTTTTTGATGTAATTCTAAATAATGTAATTTTTTATTTTTTTATGACATACCAATTTATAAATAAAGTAATTTTAAAAAATGTGATTTTGCAAGTTATTTAAAACGAGAAAATTTATAAATAAAGTAATTTTAAAAAATGTGATTTTGCAAGTTATTTAAAACGAGAAATTTATTGTTGACGAGGTAGCATTAACTCATGAAAATACTCCGGAGTAGTCCGTTAGTTCATTCTCCTTAACGGTGGATTATTAATTTATTATTATCCTGTTCACCAAAAAAAACTGTCCCCATTTTTAAATAAATTTAATAGTTACTATTCACATATCAAATATATACTCCATATTTTATATTTGTTTATATAAATTATTTTTTTACAAAAAAAAGTGTAATGTTACCACCTTCCCAATACTTTTTTTACTCTGTCTGCAGTACTCTTTCCGTCCCCAATTTGATTACAAATTGAGAATAACGAAGTAGAATTTCTCGTCTTTTGAAATTATTTTATTTATAAATTGATACATCAATAATAAATAAAAATTACTTTTTAAAAAACTAGGCCAAAATTTCTACAAAACAAGATGTGACAAGAATATTTTATTTTAGCAAATACTCAATTAAAACACACAAATAAAAAAATTTATTGAGAAAAAAGAAAAAAAATTTGTAATCTAATTCGGAACGGAAGGAGTATAATTTTTTATTTACTTTTTTATTATGAGTATATAAATTTTATTTATAATTTTAGATGAATCTTTAGATATGTTAACTTATAAATAACTCCGTTCCAAATATGACATAATATCAAAAAATGTCAAAAAATATTGTGAATATGTGTAGTGCTATTATACAAAGAGAAATTTACCTAAATAGGACTAAAACATAATAAATTTCCCAATATAGGATCATATGTTTTTATTTCTCAATGTAGGACCTTTGGTCATTATGAAGTAGTCATTATTCAAGTAAATGTCCATCATTACTGGACATTAATCCTCTCACTAGGTCATTATTAAGTCCTATTTAGGGAATAAAAAAGTTTAAGTCCTATATTAGGAAAGTCATTATGTTTTATACAAATGGCAAATTACGGGCACTTTACAGCATCAACACTCATATGTAGCAGATAAAAACATATGGATTTTTTTTATTATTTTGATATAAGCTCTACAATCTAGTTTTATAAAGGTAGATTTCTTTTCATAATTATTAATATGGATCATAAATTCCTAAAAAAGCTTCTTATTTTATTTTTTCAGATATCCTAAGAAGTTTAAACACTCCGTAATATTTAGGGGAAAAAAAGTAAATAGCTCATTCTCTTTTATTTGAATAAACTTTTACCATATCATTTTACTTTTTCTCAAATTTCATGAAAAAATATATGTGAGAACTTCTTTTAGAGACAAAGACGATGGGAGTATATTTTTATATTTTCTGCACTACTATCCCTAATGGCCTAATATTTCCTATTTTGTGTTATATAATCTTTAATATTTCCTTATATGGTCAAATCAACTTACCAAATGAATAAAAAATAAACAGAGGCCATTTACCATTGCACTATAACATGTTTTAGCACATTTTAGGGTCAAAATTGTCTCCACAATCAAGCAAACCCTCTCCCACATAATCCATATGCTTAGGACAGAAACTTCTTTTCACAATTACTTTATTTCTAAATTGGTATATCATAAAAAAAGTATAAATTGTATTGTTCAAAACTACATTAAAAGTTTTACAAACCAAGATTTGACAAGAATATTTTATCTTATCAAATGATTGATGAAAATATGCAAATAAAAATAAGTTATCCAGAAAACCGTAACAGTAACTGAAAAGTTTATTGTTGGACAGAAAAAGTATAATATTAGATGAATCTTTAAATCTGTTATATTAAAAAAACTTCGTTCAAAATATGACATAGTATCAAAAAATGTTAAAAAATATTATGAAATATGTAGTGCTATCATACAAATGGAAAATTACCAGCATTTTACAGTATTAACACTCATATCTAGCAGATAAAAACATATGAATTTTTTAATTTTGATATAAGCTCTATATTCTAGTTTTATAAAGGTAGATTTCTTTTCATAATTATTTAAATGGATCATAAATTCCTAAAATGGCTTCTTAGTTTATTTTTCAGATATCCTAAGAAGTTTCAATAATATTTAAGGAAATAAATAAATAGTTCATTCTCTTCCCTTCTATCTGCATAAATTTTTACCATATAATTTTGTTTTTTCTCAAATTTCATGAAAAAAAATATGCGAGAACCTCGAGACAAAGACGATGGGAGTATATTTTTGGATCCCTAATATTTCCTATTTTGTGTTACATAATCTTTAATATTTCCTTAAAAAAATTTATGGTCAAATTAACTTACCAAATGAAGTAATGAACAATAGATGATCAACATAGGCCATTTACCATTGTACTATAACATGTTTTAGCACATTCTAGGGTCAAAATCGTCCAACAGAGGCCATTTACTATTGTACTGTAACATGTTTTAGCACATTCTAGGGTCAAAATTGTCTCCACAATCAAGCAAATCCTCTCCCACACCATCCATATGCTTAGGACAAAAACTTGTAGGAAAGTGAAGACAAAGGAGAGATCACTAGCTCATAGGTGGCCCGGAGGGTGTGCAAAGTGGCCAACCGCACAGGACTCCTAAAATTTTAGGGCCTCATATTTTTAAATTTGTTAATAATTTTAAAGTAAAAGTATTTTAAAAAAATAAAATAGAGCCCAAAATGTAGATTTTAGATCGGGCCAAATTTATTTTTTCATTTTTCGAGGCCGGCCTTGCACTAGCTCTTGAGTAAACATTACTTCATGTTTTAAAGTTGTCTCATTTCAGATAATACATTTTGTTCTCCTCTTTATGGGATGTACGAAAATCACATATCATTAGGTTATAAATGCCTTAATTTTTTTATCATTACAATGATTAGGGTGTTAATATTCTAATCATTATCTTTTCCACTTGATCATTTTGTTATCTTAATCCATAGTTTTTCTAATTTTTGAAAAGTACTTTTATCATCCACGATCAGAAATTATCACACAAATAAATTGATAGATTAAAAAATAAATGCATATTTATCTACAAGTAATTCTTTGGGAGAAAGACCAAAGTAGGACTAAAACATTGAATATATACCAAAACAGGACTTCCATGTTTTCATTCTCGAAATATGGACTTACATTACCAAACATGATCATGTACATTACCAAAAAAAGTATAGTAATGTGCACATGTACAGTGCCACAATACCACAGTCCAAATATATAAAACGCACATCCTTCTTAGCATGGTACCGCACAAAAAACTCGTGACTTTACCGATTTGATTTCCACGTAGACATCTATATATTCAAATCATTTATCACATTTTATCGGATTAACATATTCTTGAATATCAATGGATCAATAATTTATCATTTGTATTATTTTTATTTTTTCCGAACTCAAAGATATTAGGTCAAGGAAACCCAATATCATGTGCAACATGTTAGAGCACAACCCATGGTCAAAATCATATCACCACAATCAAGAAAGTCCTCTCCCAAACTGGAAGGAGATTGAAGATGGAGGAGAGCTAATTCTTGAGTGAACACTTCTTGATGTCTTTTAAGTTGTCTCATTTTTATATTTGATGTACAAAAATAAAATGTCATTAGGTATAAGATAAAACTACTAGTCTTGTATGAAGCAGTCTGTTTGACTTCATTTTGAACATTATGTGCAAATAAGGAAAATTGGTACCAATATGATACATTCCTCAAAAGTTTTGATACCGAAACAAAAAAAAAGATTTTGCTAAACCGAATGTCTTTTTGTACCAAAAGGGTCGGTTTAACCGTTCAAAACACATCTAGTGCAGCACCCATGCGTTACATAGGGGGTGTTTCTCTATGCTGGTACTTATTAGCTTATTGTTGATAAACAATTTTTAACTTATAAGCTGCTCATAAGTATAATATTTTTTCGTAAAAGTAAAATGACTTAAAAGATATATAAGTCATTTGGGAATACTCATAAATGGTGAGGATAGCTTTATAAATAATCTGATCAAAACAAAGAAATGAAAAATTGGCTTAAAAATAAGGTATGTCAAGCTTGCTTACTTTTCCCGGCTTTTAATCAACTTATAAGTCAGCTTATAAGCATACAAAAACATGTCATCAGTTGATTTATAAATTAAAGCTTATAAACACAGAGAAACAACTACATTGTCTATTTACTGCATCTACAACAAGTAACAAGCTCCCAATTCTCAACTACTCCCAGATGAGTTTTTTTCTTCTGCATCTTTAATGCCTAACTTTGAAGCTCCATTTTCTTGCTTATAAATGCACACTTCCTCCGCTAACCGCAGGTAATAAAATTTTACCAATGCCAACGAAGCGAACACTAATTTATGTATTGATTTAGATGAATGGGAAGAAAAAGTACTCTGCATAGAAGAGATTCCATATGAATCGGTAGTAGCCAAAAATTGCTTCCTGCAAAATAATGCATTACCAAACCATGATACCTCTTTAGAACTTGGATACCTTCATAACATCATATAAAGTACCCTACATACTATGTTGCAAACGAGTGAGATCCTCACCTTAGTATAATTTGCTTTTTCCAAAGACCGCGCCTGAAAACAAACGGGCAAATAATTTTCAAAGACCAACCAACGCTAAAAATCAATTGCAAAAATCTTAGCGATAAAGTTTTAATCCGGGTGATGGGTATATCGGGACCAGCCTAAATATGTATAGTGCATTAGGCCCAATACACCCTGTTCATTCCATAATTGATATGTATTCAGGCCCAGACCACTGAAGCTCAACACTTCAAATGTTATTCCAGTTAAATAGATTTCGTTTATAGGAATAATTATTTTCAGAAACAAAACCAAGAAACCTTTTCATTAACAACACTCATTAAACAGTGAAAAGGTATAAATACCTGCAAAACTAAACACAGAGCCAGTATGATATGTATTGGTATCATGAACCTGCTGTTAAAAGCCTAGAAAGAGTTCAAAATAAGAAAATCAAGTCACTAGCCAAAGATAAAGCTAAACTCTTAAATATAGATAGAGAGGTTATCTGATAGTGATAGGAATTTGTCTAAAAAAACACAAATTACATAAATATAAAAGTTGTAGACTCACTTATTAGGATACAAAACTGAGCCCTTACTCCGAAAAGGCTAGCTCATGTAGGACACGTAACAAAACGATTATAGATACACAGATTAAACTCACATGAGGCATGTAAATTGCAGTCAATACAGCACCAAAGTAATTAACCAACAAAAGCCCAGAGCCCAAAAGTGCTACGTTTCTCACACCAAGATTTGTAGCGAAAGTTGAAATTTGAAACCTGGAAAAGGTATTAGAAATAAATAAATCAACCAATATATACTTCACTGCTAGTTTCTAGGTGCGTGGAAGACACAATTTATTTGACTGAGATGTTTATGGACAGAAATAGAAACACAGCATATCAGATCTATGTACATTAGATTTCATGTGAGATTGCCTCAAGGTGAGATAATAAGATGATAGTGAGAAATAATTTTTCTTTCAAATATAATGCATATAAGCATAAGTTTAATACTTCTAATGCAAGTCACTAGAAGCAATACTTAATACTCCATCTGTTCCAAATAAGAAGTCTTGCTTGATAAAAAGGAACTGAAGTTAGGTGATTAGACATGACATGAGGCATTTGCATCTGACTAGGAGAGCTTGAAGATCAATGATTAAGGTTGTAGGGCAGGGGTAGCCAGGTATCCTTTTCTTGGGAATGCGGGCTCTAGGCGGTGGCTAGGTTTTGCAGGGTGTATATCTTACTTTTTATTTTGCAAACTCTTGTGGGACCCAACTGGGTTGTTATTGTTGTATCTGCGTCATTTTCTGTCTTACTTCTGTGATCTTTATGTTCCTATGAACCTGTGTCAATCTGTTTTCTTTGCCCTTTGGGAAAGGCTTGTGTACATCCACCCCTAGATTACACTTGTGGGACTACACTGGATTGTTATTGATGTATACAAAAAATACTCAATACATATGATTTATGACTATGTTGTACCCTGCCAAAAATTAAATGTTGTACATTTTACCTTGGTCAAGCATGACTGCTAAAACTGTGGAGAAAATACTTTCTTTCACCAAAAATTAAGTCTTACTCACCCGTATTTTAAATGGAGTATCTAAAATAATACTTTTTTCCAAAAAAAAATATTACCAACTTATTGTGAAGCAATCTTGCACAAATACTTTTGAGATCTAGAGATAAGTAACTACAGAACTTACTTTTGATCACCTTCTACGTCTGGAAGATCCTTAGTTATGGCAATAACCAAAGCAAATACGGTGAAAAAAGCTGTAATGAAAGCCACAGGTGAACTGCATGGAGCATTAACATAGGATGAGATAAAAATAGGCCAAGTGCACAAACAAAGTTTGTTTGGTTAAAACCTTATGGTATACAACATCAGTAGTAACAACTGACAGACCTCTACTTTAGCATTTTCAACATTCTACTTTGTACTGAATAGGATACAATGATACAGGAAATTTAATGTAGATCTAAAATGCAATAAAAAGGACCAGGCTATAGCCAGTAATTCTTCATTATGAAGTTCAAGGAGCCTATCTTTTTCTGTATAAAAGCACTTGTTGGAAACATGAGCACTCAAGGAGAGAAATGTTGGTTTTCTTTTTTTTATATATATAAAAAACAATGTTATGGCCAGAAAACTTCAGGTCACTGTTCACCTCCATTCAAAGCTTAGCCCCAAAGCTGCTCTTGTGGCATAATAAACACCATAATTAAGAAGAAAACCTCTCACCTGCAGTTCAAAAAACAGTCAGTATTGTAAAGATAGCTATTTTATGAGTTACCACGTTTTTTGGTTCATTCACCAATAACATATATTCAGAAATGACTCTACATAGGCTGATATCTTTCTAATTTTTCCAAAAGCGCATGAGTATTTGCCACGTAAGAACCACTGAGAAAAATCAAATCAGGGAGAATTGCACCGTAGCGATTATAAGAAATGCTAGAGTTGGGAATCTCTTCATGCGAAAAGGAGGCACAGAGTAGATGGTTCCAAGGAATAGACCAAGAGCATAAAGAGAACATATGAATGGACCAAAATTGATCCCAACTATCACTAGTCCTGCCACAGCAAACAATTTCACCAAGATCCATGCAGACTGAACCGAAAGGTCTCCTGCAGCTATAGGCAAATAAGGCTTGTTTACCCTGCAAATATTTTTACGAAGTAGTTCAAAGAAAGATTATAATTTCATCTACTCCTCCCATCTCAATTAATTATTGTTTTTAAGGCACTAAAAGAAACAAACAAAATCATGATAATGATAATAAAGAAATGAAGATTTACGGTTAGTTGTTACTTGTCAATTCCAACATCGTATATCTGATTAATGCCCACTATATAACCATTGCCACAAATGAGAGCAAAAAGTCCATAGAGCGCCTTGAGTAACAATGACCAACTCACAAGATCTGGGTTTTCAAATATAGCTCTTGCTACCAACGATCTGCAAAAAGAGTCAATTCCACAGTAACTATCTCACTCAAATAAGCACACTGTCAACTTAGAATAATAACAATAATAACTTACATAGACCCCAGTGTTGTTCCACGTATGGTATGTGGCCTTAAAAATCTCGAAAATGCATCTTGGAACTGTAAAATTTTATTGAACCCTGCATCAGGTCCGGCAGCCCCAGCTTGAGAGAACGCCTGCAAGCAGCATCTTTTGTCAGTGTTTGTTAATCTAATCAATCTATCTTAATACAGAATTGCACCAAGTATGAACAATCCAATCACATGATCATATATATATATATATATATATATATATATATATATATCAATTAGGTCTCGGCTATGCCTGGTACAATTAGCTGACTGAAGACTGAAAAAGTTGACTAATCGAACTAGAAGATTTGGGTAAAAGTAGCTGAAACTAGGTAAAATCATATAAACACATCCTTCTTTCTTGACAACAAGGGCAACCCAAATCAAAGTATCCAACTAATTTTAAAAGAGAAACAAAAGTAAGCCCCTATTTGAGACACTAAGCTTTAGCATTTTGGAAATGTGATTCCAGTGTAGCCTTTAACCTTTAGGCTCCGTTTGGTACACGGAATTCAAATTATGAAATTGGAATTGAGGACAACAATTCCAATTTTGTTGTTTGGTATCACAAAAATAAGTGGATTTGGAATTAGTAGTGCCAAAAATGTATTGGTATTGGGGAATTCAATTCCATCTAAATCAATTCCATAGAATTTCAACTTCTAATTTAATTCCAATTCCATCAAATTCTGTGTACCAAATGGAACCTTAGAGTTTTTAAGCGCAGTTAAAAATTCTACCAAAACAAACTCTAACTCTAATTAAAACTGTGTTCCCAAATGGAGCAAAGGACTAATTCAGAAATCTTTAAGCTCAATCAAACTGATTCAGGACAGAACAAAGCTGATTAAACGATAATGGGCCGATATTATACATACCCTAATGGAGCTGCGACTGCACGGTCTGAGTGGAGCAGTTTTAGAGAAGGTTCTGGAACGCTGAACCGCAGCTGAGGAAGAAGGTCTGAATAGGGCAAAGTTCGCAGCTTTGTGGGTGGGCCTGGAGGTGAATTTCCATAAAAATGGAGGAAGAACTCTTCTGTTATTAAATGCAGATGAAATCTGAGGAGAGGAGCACGATGAGCACGCCAACTCCATCCCCAGAAAGCGCGAATTGTGGTTTTAGCGCAGAAAGAGACCAAATTTGATGGTTTTCATGAATTGTGTCCAAATGTCCAATCTTACATTTCTTTTCATTTGTACAAATTCTCTTTCAGTAAATTCCATAAAAGGTCCCCACTTATAAGTCGTTTTACATATTTAGTTCCTACATATCAAATATTACTAATTTGGTCCCCAATTATTATATTTATTTCTACGAATGGTCCTTTGTTAACATTTTCATTAAAACGTGGAAAAAATTATAAATTCACACTCCTTTCTCTCCTCAATTAAGCTTTCTCCTCCCTTGTACTCATTTCTCAAATCCGTCGCTGAGTTTCTAGCTTTGAACCCTAAACCAAAATCATCACTCTTCTCTCAATTGTTTGTCTAACTGGAGGAATGATCATTTAAATTTTGGGTTTAAGAGCTTCAAACTCAGCGACGAGTTTGGGAAAGAGTATGAGAACTGAGAAGATGAAGAAAAGCTTAATTGAGGAGAGAGAGAAGTATGAATATACAATTTTATCCACGTTCTTAACGGAAATGTTAACAAAGGACCATTCGTGGAAATAAATATAATAATTGGGGACTAAATTAGTAATATTTGATATGTAGGGACTAAATATGTAAAACGACCTATAACTGGGGACCTTTTATATAATTTACTCCAAAAATTAATACGGAGTACTATAATTTTTAAAGATATACGGAGTATTTTTTATTTTTTTAATTCTAAACTACTTTTTCATATAAAATAAGTTTAAAATAATTTCAGTCAACATCAATGAGAAACAAAATTAATGAAAGTATGGATTTATAATTCACCCCGATTCCCTTAACATTGCTAAATAATGCCATGTAATGACTCAGAGGCCGTACGATATTCTGTTCGTAAAATTGATGGTTATTACCTCTCCTTTGTGTGCCTTTTGTGGTAAGTTTAAAATATAAAAAATTTAGTACAAAACATAACAACTTATATTGAAATGGCCAATGCAGTTAGGTATATAGAGATTTGTTGGAGATCACACCATATTTAAAGTAGACATTTTATTGTAGAATGGTGCCAAAAGATATTGTCTCATTCAAAAGAATACCAAGGAACATGAACATATAACTTTAGACTTCATTTTGTAATATAAAAATAAATAAAAGAAATTAAAATAATGAGAGAGGATTATTTTTCCTCTTTTGTATGCTTTACAAAAGAATAGTAAAGAATGGCTGAAACTACAACACTACACATTTGCTATAGAATTGCTAAGACATGCATTCCAACTTTGATATATCCCATCTAAAACATTAATAATAATAATGATAATAATAATAATTTTAATAATAATAATAAGGCACTAGTGATCAGTATGACTTTTTAACCCTTTCACACTAAGGGAGTGTTTGGCTTTGCAGCAAGTGGACTTCTCCCGGTCACCGGTCTTCTATATGAGCTTGCAGCTGTCGAACGGTCAGATTTTCGGGTAGACGAATGGGCACTTCTAGGGGACAACTGGGCCTCCTCTAGGACACGGAACTGGAGCTCTAAGGGGTAGTCCCTCATGCACCCGATCCGCGGTCCTGCCCCGGTTGTCCATCTGGTAGTCAGTTGATGAGCCAACTGGTATGACTTCATTCTCTTGTGAGAGTTTATCCTTTTGATGATCTTCTCTTTAGGGACAGTTTCGTCATAGTCCTCTTCGTTTTCGCTCGCGAATAGGTTGCGTTTGGCAACCGAAATGTCTATGTCCGAAACCTCCTCCTCCTCTTCATCATCATCATCATCTTCCTCTGCTGTCACGTAACCATCTGTTGGTGTTTCTGCAGCAGCTGGTTCGCGCTCTTGCTGCTGCTCTTCTTTCAGCAACTCGATGATGTCATCCTTCTTTGGGATCTCAAGTTTCGCGATGTTTGGTCTCATTCGTCTTGGGGGACATTTTGGCTTTGGTGCGTCTGGAACATCTTCACTTGATTGTTTTTTAAGGCTTGAACTCTTTACCTTCACCATGGCCTCCTCATCATCATCACTTGGTGCTTTCTGCAACAACAACAACAACAAAAACGAAGTTCAAACGAAGACATGAAAACGTTTTCTGGCAAACAAACAGAGCCTTAATTGATGTTCTTTTTTTTCCTCTACCTGTACAACAGAAATGTCGACGTTGTGATCTTTGAGGAAAGACAAAAATTCCTCAAAATTTTCTTCTGTGGGAAGATAATGCCCACTGTGCGGCCAGACTGCCTGTATCACAGAACAATAAAAGATTGATTATCATTATAATAATTACTCCCTCCCTCCCATAAAACTATAAAAGGGTCATGTTTCGCGTCAGAATCCCATCTTTTTTTGAAATGACTATAAATAAATTGGTATGGCAAGAATATTTTCTTTTATCAAATGACCAATGAAAACACTCGATCATGAGGCTCAAATAGTAAAAGTGTAAATCTTTTTGGGACAGAGGAAGTATTAATTTAGAACATGGATCTTTTGACGCCAACACTAGTCATAATATGACACCGAGCTATGTGAGGGTCCTACAATGCTCCAATGGGATCCGAAGTTGGTCATATGACTCATATCCCCCAAAACCCCCCCGCCGACTCCCTTCTCCCGGATCACTGATATACTACAATACATACTGTAGTATATCGGCAATCCGCAGAAGAGGGGTAGGGGTAGGACCCACTTCAGGGCCCAACGGAACACCAAATGGCCCCCGTGTCAAAAGAAGAGTGAAGTTAAATGTATTTGTTAAATAAATTTACACACTCAAAATTATGTGGTGCACTTTAAAACAGTAAATATGATGAAAAATAGAAAACTATCTTCTTTTATTAAAAAAAGAAAAAATAAGTTGAGAGTAAGCAAACAATAAGACAGAAAGCTAAAACTTTCCATATTCTTATGTACCTTCAGAGTGCCATCTTCTACAACTAATCTCCCAGCAGATAATGTAGCGCCACCAGCCAAGAAACTCGAATGCTGGAAGGTTCCTTTGTGCTTCATTCCGACGTACAAAACTCTTGACACACTAAGCACAAAGATCCACTTGGCATCTTCGGGGCCTTCCGATGTGTCAAGCGCCTTCCCACTCTTCTTATAGCTTAACTTCCCATTGGCCACAGTCACTTCATATGCCTCTCTTTCGATCTGTTACATCACATTAGAACCATTTTGATGGATCCATATTCTTTTCAAAGTTGTGGGTAAAATGGATTTTTAGTATTTTCTCACAAGGATGAAGAAGAAACTCACCGGCCCAAGATACTTAATGCACTGTTGTTGAAGCCTGGATTTAGGACACCTCTCAAGATTAACTTCCTTACCTTCACCAATGTCCAACCTACAATGGATTAAATAGGAGGGGAAAAGTTTAAGTTTTAAATTAAAGTAAAACTTGTAGCAAAGTTCTATTCTATCTTCTGCAAGTTGAAACAAAAGCTTACCAATAGAAGAAAGGCTGTCTGCTTTCACATTGGAGCCACTTAGCATAATAAAATTGAAGATTGTGACCATAGCGATGGCGAGGATCAATCTATTCACGTAGAAGTAGAGGACTATAAATAATTGTCCCGGCACACAATACATATGAAAAGATGCCATTTGGACTCTCAATAGCTTCAGATTATGCAATGTATTATTCCTTCATTGTCAATTTGGTGTTATTCAGCCCCTCAATTATCTAACAAATCGTTATTGAGTCACTCACTCACTAATGCTAACATCATTGTTGAGAAAATCAAACCCAACAAACCCAGTATATCTATTCAAGAGTAAGAACATTGTTGAGAAAGTAAAAGTAAACGATATGTGTTCCTATGAAAACTGCAATAAATTATGTGACTTCATAATTTTGGTGTAAGGGGCTTACTAGACAAGTTCTAAAATTTTTGATAGACCAAATTGCGCCAAATTGACAATGAGGGACTACATTGCATAGCCAAGAATAATTAAGGAACCAAACTACTGCTTTTCCCCCCAAAAAAAATAATTTCACTACTTGAACTTCCAGGACAAAGGAAACTTACTGCTTCAAGCCAATGCTGCAGAGCTAGTTTGCGTGCCTTCTCATCCTTGGACAACCCTTTTCCCACCTTTCAAATCGGCAAGTCCTCAAGTTCAGAACTAAATGAAACTATAGCATTTTAAAGAAAAAATACAAACCAAAATCTTCACCTTAGCAGCTTTTGCACTAGCTCTTGACCAGCGAGAAATGGCTGTTTCAGTTTTCTCAATGTCAAAAAATGATATAGAGTTGTACTTGAGTTCAACTGAATCTAAAATCTTCCACCTGCAAATTTTTCCAATAGCCTTGACTCAAAATCCACAAGACACATTCAGCAACCAAGAAAATCCCATGAAAAGTGTGCTTGGTTCAACAGAGGGGAAGGGAGGAATTTTAATATTAGATCGTTTAGATAGAGTGGATGGAATGAGAGGGTATTCTAACACTAGCTTACATATGCCATATTGTGCTTTTTTAATAGCGACTGTAATAAATTATTTACTTACAAACATCAATAGGTATGCGTGCTTAACCATATGATGCATGCGTCCAATACTCTGTATTGGACTATATTTAAACATTTTATTATAAATAAATTCATTTTCACAATTAAAAAGATAATAAAGATAGAAGAGATATGCTTGGACATGAAACCGTAAGAGAGGTGTGTGATACAAGGTAGAAAAAATATTATGGACTTCCCTCCTCCCCTCAAACTTATATCTTACCCAAACAAGGGTAAGGGAGCAAAATCCCTCCCCTCCGATCCAATGCAACTCAAGCCTTGTGAAAGTGTATATAAGAAATAACTCCTCCTATGCTAAAAAAATTTGGAAAATGTGACAATTCAAATTCAAATCTGAAACTCTATCCTTCTAAAAAAAGTCATTTTTTGTTGTGAAGACTCTTTTACCGTACAGAAATAGTACTATTCTCAAATGAAGTATCATATGAAAAATGGAAAAGTCTCAAAGCGGGTGCTGACAGTAGAATAAACAATTGGTGCTTACCATCTTTGCTCTGCTAGGACAGCACAGTCTGCTAGTTGCCTCCGTGTCCGAAAACTTTTATATGTCTTCTGCAACTTTAGAGCAGCCAGGTCTCTTTGGTTTGAGATGCAGGTGGGAGGTGGTGACTTGACACTATCTGGTGTAGGCAACTTTTCATAAGTTATTCCATCTGGTCTTGTCGTCTCCTTATGGAAAACAGGAGACACCAAGGAGATCTTGGTCTCCAACTCCCCGCCTTTAAAGCTAAGTGACCCTTCAAGGATCATCTTTCCTGAGCCAAGAGATTTTAAAATGGGAGACTCCATATTGTCGCTGCTGAAATTTATGGATTGTATGGTGGTCTTCACACCATCACTTCCAAAACTTATAGTTCTCACTAAATATGATTCAACCTTACTATCCAAATCATTCAAAGAGTTGGAATAATACATTCCCATTTCACTGCAAAAGCTTCTGGGACGACTTTAAGTACCAAATACAGAGTATTATATATCAGTCACCTGAAACAAAAAGGATGAAGGTGTCAGTTTTTACAAAGATAATATGTAATTCTGTGTGATAATGATTAGTGACCAAATTGAAAAAATATCATTAAAGGCCAAAATGGCATAGAGATGGTCAATAACTTGGCAGAATGCAATGCATATCTCAAGCAGGAAAAAATTGAAACAAAAATAAATAAATACTACGTGAAAACTTCCTTACAGATTTAAATCTCTCATCATCATTCAAATTCATAATGCAAATAAGAGTTATATGCATAAATAGTCCATGTGGTCTTTCATAAGTGGGTAAATAATCCTCGAACTTTCAAAAGTTGCTAAATAGTCCCTGTGGTCAAAGAACCATTGCATAATCAGTCCCCCTATTAGAGAATTCGTGAAATGTATACAACATGCGCGTATTGTGCAAAGATGTAAATTATGTAATATTAGAAAAAGCTAATTTGAAGTTTTAGTTGTGATGTGTAAGTTTGAACCATAATACAATATCTTCTATCTTTTAGTTTAAATCATCTCTTCTAGAGTGATATTCTTGAATCATAGTATAATGTTCTATGTGAGCTCAAGATATTCTGTTTTTTAGTTAGCCTTTTTCTATGGTAATACCGTGTGATATAAGAGCTGGAAAAAAACCATTCCCTGCATTTAACCACGTAGACGAGGGTAATTTCATCAGAATAATTTTTTTGGTACATGCTTCACATTTTCACACAGTACGCATGTGTTCTGCATGCTTTATGTTTTCTTTAAAGGAAGGACTAATTATGCACCAATTCATTGACCACAGGGACTATTTTGCAACTTTTAAAAGCACAGGGAGTCAGGGACTATTTACCTACTTATGAAAGACCACAAGGACTATTTGTGCACATAACCTAGCAAATAATCCAAGCCATACCATGAGAATTGAGAAGTACACGGAGTTTATCTATCCCCCCATATTCCATTTTAAAAACAACAAAAGCCAACATTAAAATGTTTCCTCACATCTCATACAAGGGAGCAACGAAAAAGGGAAGAAATCATTAGGATTTTAGCCACATTTGATGAAAATGGAATATCCATCAAATTCTCCCCAGAAATAAAAGAGAACGCCAGAAATGCATTTCCTTAGACCAAATTGCTCGAGATTAAAAATTCAAAGCAGTGCTTTTCAACATCAAATAATGCTAACCATTTCCCCCACATTCCAATGATCAACAAGCAGGTGAATGTGAATAAAACCAACCAGAGCAGCAATCTATCAAACACCTCATGAGCATGATCCCAATTCATCAACCATTATACCATAAACATTAAATAAACGCAAACCCAATGTTCAAAATCACCAAAAGAAGAGACAAAAGGATTAAAACACATCACAAAGATACCATCTATCATTACCTTGTCAGAGGAGGCCAACCCAGATGACAATGTGGGTGACCTGGGGGAGAAAAAATATGTTTTTGTTTTCAATGGAGATATTATCAATGTGAGCTTTGAGAACCCAGAATGTGGGTTTGAGAGATCAACTAAAAAGGATGCATTTTTATGGATGATTGTAATGGGAGGGGTTGTCTCCTTGAAATCAAGAAAACAGATCGGCTAAATTGTGATTTTAGCCTCTCTGCTTCCCCCCTCTTTCTCTCTTCCCAATTGCAGGTGATGGTGTGCTTTTAGCTGCTCTGTTCATGAGCCAATATTTAACCATATTTATTGGTTGGTGGTTGAAATAATTCCCAATTCATGGAATTTTTTATACTCACTTTGTCGGTTCTTCCAGTTTGGTTTGGTTTGGAGGGATTATAATGGAACACTTTAATTATTAATATCTTTATTTATATATAAATATATATTATTAAAATGTGATATTTTAAATTTATATTTCAAGATAAATATTTCATTCGTCGATAATTTATCATCCTATTTTCCTTATTTATCCGTCCATAAATTATTTTCTCATTTCTTTTTTTGACAAATGCTTTTTCTTTCTACCACGTTACTATCTCACATTTACTCTTTAATTAGTATCCGTACTTATACTTTATTTTACTTTTTGCAATAACTCAATGACAAATATGGAAAGTCAACACATTTTTACTTTTTCTTAATCTACATGTGAAATCAAAGTCAGGAAGATAATTTTTGGACGTAGAAATAATTTAGTATTAAATTTATATTACAATTTAGAATATATTTTTTATCATTAATTTTAAAAAGTTGACTATGCATGTTAAAATTAGAATAATGAAGAGGAATGGAGGGAATAATTAAAATAAAAGTAGTCAGAGTGTGTGTTTTCAACCATGTGATCCCACTTTTGACCAACATTGGGAAGTTTCGGCTAAAGTTTTTAAAATTGATTGTTTGTCAAATGACACCGTAGATGGGGCTGTACCCACTTGTACGTACATTTGGACTATACATTGCATGGGCTTTGTAGAACCCGATTTATGATGTTTTTGGTCCGTGGAATCGCCCACCCGAGGCGCCCCCTCCCCCCGCCCCCGCCTGACAGAGATGGTGGAGGAGGTAAATTATTGTGACTCAATTGGCAAAGAACGCTAGGCCTGTATCCACCACGTACAAGGAGTCTCCTCACCCTTTATGGGATTTATGATTGTTAAAGAGTATCACACATTCGAAAAGTGTGAGAAAATAATCGGTATATAAGCTCTTGAGTTGAACTAACTAATCGATTAGATTCAATCTTTTAATGTGGTTCAGCTCAAGTATCTTATTACCCAATCCAATTGTCCACATCCCATCCTAAATTCTACCATAGTATCAGAACAGGTTTTGGTCCACCTCATTTGTCAAGGTGTCCGTCTAGACGTTCATTTCTAGCGGCCCGTTAGTCTTTAGCTCAGTTGTCCGTATGAAGTATGTACCCTACAGCCTGTGGCCCATTTAACACGATTGCTCGCCTAGAAGTCCATACCCAGCGGCTTGTGGTCCTTTAGGTGTTGGCGTGAAAGAATTGTTTAGGAGGAAAATTACTCGTATTATTTATGTGTCTACCATGTACAACCCTCCGTTACATATATAGTGGAGAATCCTAGTTAATAAAGGAAAACTCTATACAAGGAAACAACTAAAAAGGAAAGTAATATATACACAATATCTCCCATATCTTCTCCCATAGCTCTCTTTCCTTTTACACCCCCCCTCAAGTTGGAGCATGTAACGAAGAAATGCCCAACTTGGGTATAAGGAACTCTAGGCGTGACTTCCCAAGCGCCTTTGTGTGAATGTCCGCAAGCTGGTGCATAGTAGGAACATGAAG